TCCCTTCCTTCCTTCCTTCTTTCTTTCTTTCTTTCTTTCTTTCTTTCTTTCTTTCTTTCTTTCTTTCTTTCTTTCTTTCTTTCTTTCTTCTTTTTTTTTTTTTAAAAAGTAATTTATTTTTAATGTTCACTGGTGTTTTGCCTCCATGTATGACTGTGTAAAGATGTCAGGAGCCCTGGAACTGGAGTTACAGACAGTTGTGAGCTGCCATGTGGGTACTGGGAACTGAACCCAGGTCCTTTAGAAAAGCAGTCGATGCTCTTAACCAATGAGCCATCTCTCCACCCCCATCTTTCTATTCTTAATTCTGGTTATTTTCTTACCAAACTGGGTTAAGTCATTACTCAGACGTTCTTTGGGCCTAACTTTCAGTTTTTCTGTCTCTGTGCCTAAAATGTTCTTCCTCTGTAATATTCTCTTTGTTCTCACTTAGGAAAATCTAGTCATTCTTTGGACTGTCTTGACCTTGAGCTCAAGCAGGATGAGCTGTATGTTATAGCTGTGCATATGTACATATGTGTGTGATTTCTTATGTCTTGCTCTGGTTTTGCCGAACTTATCTATCTTTATAACCTATTAACAAAGGGTTCAATGAATAAATGTTTCAAGGCCTGACAGGTAAATTGGCATGTTGAGCAGTTAGTTCTGACTCTGACTTTGAAAACGTTACCAACCTGCTTGTTACAAGGTCCTACCACAGTGAATTCTAACCCATCTGAGGTGTGAACTACATGCAAGAGTGAGGGACTTTGGAAGCAGCTTTTAAAATGGCCATCTTCTTCATGTTCTCATAGTTAGACATAAGAGCCATTAATAAATGTAGAAAACTGCACCAAGTCCTCCAGAAAAGGAAGTCGCTTGCATTTGTATGTTTTCCTTTTTCTTTGCTTCTTACCCCCTCCCCCACCCTAGTTTCCTATTTCACTTTGGTATTTTCTTACAGTAATCAGGCATGAGAAGGGGTGCCCTGGTGCTCTCTCCAGAGCAGAAGAGAAACACAAAAGAAACCTTTTTGATAACTACCTACAAATTGTTCTTGCATATTAATATCAATTGTAATTCACTGTTATCACATAATCTTTTAGAGATTCTGATTTTTAAATTTTTCTATAGTCTTCAATTAATATGAAAGAGGATTTATTAAATATTTCAAAGATACCAAATCACTGTATTTGGACAATCTCAAGGCAGTGTACCTTGGTGGTCTAGGGGTTAGGACTTGCTCAAGACAAGCTTCATGAATAAGATATATTTACAGAGTAAAGTAGATTAAGGAGAACTTAATGATATAAAGGTTTAAGCTTGAAATGCTTCATACTCTCAAAGGAGTCTTGTATTTGGCACATTTGCTAATGTTTTCCCTTAAAAAAACTGCCCTTGCACAGGGTATGAAATGCAAGCTACATGTTTAGTTCATCATTAAAGTCAACTGGGAAAAGATTTCAGATATTCTGAGTAGTAATGCTTGTTTTTCTAGAGGTTTTAATAAGAATGCTCAGAAGAACCCCTCTGCGTCAGGCGGACTAGAGAGTGTGGGAAGGGGCTAGAGGATGCTGGGACAAGGAGGATGACTACAGGGTGGAGATGGTTCTAGCCCTCCCCACTCCAAACCCCAGAGCTACATGTGTTACATCATGGTTCTATTGCTTTCTGGACAGAAATTGCATTAACTGACAAAATAATTATTATGGCTGTGGTTTACAAAATTAAATCAACTAGAATTCTATATTAAATATTAATATTTATATAAACAAGAAATTACCTCAAAATAAAAGATTTCATTAAACTGCGGATTGCTTGTTTTCTTCTTTACTTTTGTCTTCTTTTGGTCATTCCTGTTCCAATGTGGTAGAGTTTTACCTTGTAGAACTTAATAGTACACAATTATAAAACAAGCTATTTCCAACCAGGAAGCCTGACCTTTGTCTAAATGTTAGGATGACTGAGGGAAGATAAGAATTTACACACTGTGTAAGGGAGAAAAGCCAGTGTGTCCTCACAATCTCAAATCAAACAGTATCCACACATAGGATACAAGTTTTAGGAATTTATACATGCCAAGATTGGGTTACTGTCTCCATGGCTGTGAGAGTCTGATTGCTAAATTCTCTTTGCAAGTATTCAACACATCCTACTACATAAACAGAAAAAGTAGTGAGGAGAAAGGCAGTGAGCTCCAAGTGCCTTTCCTGATGTTGAAAACACCTGGAGAACATGATGTGTCTCTGAACTTAGTTTACTTCTGGGGTGTGGCCCTGACAGTGACGTAAACAAACCAACTGCTAACTCTCAAGTGAATACACAACCTCTGAGGCACTTACAAATCAATGCTCAGGGAGTCTCGTGTCTTTAGCAGACTTAACTAATGTCTTGTGCAATTAGATAGCAAAATCAACCATGATTAAAAAAAAATAGTTTCAGGCCGGGCGTTGGTGGCGCACGCCTTTAATCCCAGCACTCGGGAGGCGGAGGCAGGCGGATCTCTGTGAGTTCGAGGCCAGCCTGGGCTACCAAGTGAGCTCCAGGAAAGGCGCAAAGCTACACAGAGAAACCCT